AAGCCATTGGTCATATCCTGGAGCCTACTTACACCCACCAAGCATCTACTTTGGGACATGTGGAACTTTGATCCTTTGGAGATCTTCACCATGATTTATGTAAGTCCATGACATAGAGCCACTAGGGAGAATGCTAGTGTCAACAAGATGGGTTTGGTGGTAGGGAGCTTCCTGGGATCGTTGAAAGCACTGAGCAACTTCTCACATGGGCCATGAGCTCATTCTCCAATTCAAGTCTTATAATTGATATTTTATCATAATTAATAATCCTTGAAGAGAATTTTTTTCTTCTAATCTTAACTAATTAGAATTACCACTATGAGGTCTGTTTCACACAATCAGAAACCTTGGAATAGAAAGAAAAAAGAACATACAAGAGTTTTAGAACTGGGATGCAATTTGGAAATCATCAAGTCTAATTTCACTTTATAGATGGGGAAAACCCACAGAAACTAAAACAAATCAAATTAGACTTTTTGGGTCTGACTCTTCATAACCTGGATGTTTCCTATTTCCCCAGAATTCTTGGACAATAATGCCCGCCACATATCCTAGAACTCACCACTTTTGTCTACTGGCTGTTCTTCACATGTGATGCTCCATCTCTCCTTCTGTATCTTTGCCATTTCTGGAAGGCATTCATTCCCTTCTCCAATCCACCACTCAGAATCCCTGGCTTCCTTCATGATTCACCTCAAATGCCACCTTTTACAGAAAGACTTTCCCATTCTCCCCAGCCACTAGGGCCTTCCCTCTAAATCAGAGGTTCTTAACCTGAGGGGGACACAAGCTTGGTTTTGTTTTTAATATTTTGAAAGCTGTATTCTGATATGGCTGATTTCCTTTGTAATCTTATGCACCTTTATTTTATGCATTTAAAAATATTATTCTGAGAAAGGGGTCTGTAGGCTTTACCAGATTGCCAGAAGGGTCAATGACTCACAAAAAGATAAGAACTCCAGTGCTAAGTTTACCCTGTATCCACTCTATATCTATCTTCTCTATCATTGTATGTTTATTTATGTATACTTATGTATATACTGATTTGTCTTTGCATTCAAATATGAGGTCCTAGAGGACAGAGAGTCTTTTTAATATTTCTTTGTATCCTCCAGGCTTAATGTCTGGCATAAAATGAGTGCTTAATAAATGTTTTTTTAATTGTTTAATTATATTTATATCCCTTGGCTTTAGCACAATGCTTTGCATGTAGAAAGCACTTGATAAAATGTTTTTTTCCACTTTCATTAATATCTTCATGGTCTCTGCCTTCAGGGAGTTTTAATCTACTTAAAAAACTAATACATAAAAATGCAAAAAGTTAAATAACACTAGAATATGTGTGTAATGGGCTCAAGACAACATTGAAGGGGATAACAGAAGGTAATATGCTGTTAATTGTCAAAAAATAAAATTGTGCCAGATGTTAATTGTTTTGATAGTTCACAGAGGGAGACACTTTAGGAGCCAGGGAAAACTTTCCAGGAGAGATGGGCTCTGAGCTTGACCTTGAAGATTGAGTCGGATTTGGATAGGCAGAGTGATGGGAGAAAGAAGATCCCAGCTGGTTGAAATAGGGTAAACAGAATACAACTCCTCAAAGTTCCCGAGGGAGTCTCTGCTGGGATTATGGCCAATACTGATAAGCAATCTTTTCCTGCACTGTTGATTCTCAGGACTTCAGGGTCACTCCAGAGAAACGACAGATTTTTCACAAACCGATGATTTCAGTCATGTTGAAACTCCCTGCACTAATGCTGAGCTGCCATGGCTAAAAATGTTCCTCACCTGGCAACCACTTCCCTGGCGATAAGTTTTTCCCCAACTGAGCTCAGCTGGTGCTTAAATGAAAGACACACAACTGGTCAGCAAGTTGTTCTGGAAACCTCTCCAGCTTGGTAGGATTTGTCTGAACTCTCACTGTGACATCATGACCTTCAGGAAATCGGGGTCACCTCCACACCATCATAAATGCATTGCAGTTGTCATTGATTGGAGGCAGAAAAAATGTGTTGATAACTAATTTACATTATTTATAATAGTCTTGTGTTTGACTTCTTGAGAAAGGAGAGATGGAAGGACTGGGACTGGGCAAAGAATTTGTGAGGGCAAGAAATTAAGCTTGAGAAGTTCAGGAGACTACCGTGTATTCTTGTTTTCACAAATGCTTTTGTCAGCTCGGGCCGACTCTGATCTATGACGTTCTTTAGGGGGCAGCTGGAAGATTCCAGTATGGAAAGTCAATTTAATACTCCTCCTGGATATGGAGAACAGCAAAGCTGCCTCTGCTACTTCTATTGGGCAGACCATCTGAGCATGATCCTGGAAGAACCAGAGAATCATTGGTGCCTGTGCCCCTGCTCCAACTGTTTGTTGACTAGAAATCAGACTCCGCTCATCACATTTTAAGCGTTAAAACTGATTCTGTTTCCTTTCCCTACTGACCCCCAAGGCTCCCCTTAAAAAAAAAATTAACCTTAATTAGTTCAACAGAATTAAACAAATAAAAATCATAACATAATAAACTCTGAACTATTTATATCTTAATAATATATGTATATATGTAAAAACTTTAAAAACTAATAAGTTCAATTTTGTGTTTCTACCCAAGCTTTTTCTTCTTCAGACTTTATTACTGTTATTATTCCTTAGTCATAGTTACCACATTTGTTGTCTTATTTCTTCTTTCTATAACTTTGTATCCCTTCATGTCTTTCTGCGTTTCTTTGTATTTTTCATATTTGTCATTCTCAGTCATCCAAATAACTAGCATTTATTAAGTGCCTACCATATGCTGAGGATACAAAAAAAAAAAGAAAAAGAAACTGTCCCTACCCTTGACAACATTCTAACAGAGGGGATGAGATATATGCATATAAGACATACACATTTACATGAGTCTGCAAAATACATATAAAATCAATACAAGGTAAATATGGGAATGGGGAAAGCACTAACAACCAGGAGAATTAGGAATGACCTTATGTGGGAGATGGCATGGGAGCTGCACTTTGAAAGAAACTAGGAATTTTAAGAGGTGTGGGAGGATCTTCCCACATGGGAGGCATGGGAGAGAGCCCTCTCCTACACTCTTAGCAGCAAGCTTACAACAAATTTTTTGTCTTTCACAGGAAATTCTTGAACCATCAACATGGGCTACATCCCTTTTCCATTTGTATAGCTCAGAGCTGGCTATATTTTTTTCCATTTGTGGAACACTCATTCTCGTTCTCTCTTGTTACACTAAGATGCCTAGAAAATCTTTGCATCAAAAGGCAACATAGTCTAGTGGAGGGGGTCCTGAATATGGAGTCTAGCATACCTGCTTTCAAGTCCTGCCTTATACTTTTACTAGCAGTATGACTCTGGGTAAGTCACTTAACCTATCTGTGGCTCAGTTTCCTTATCTGTAAAAAGTGCTGGTTAAACTCAATGGTTTCCAAGTTTCCTTCAAGCTCTAAATCTATGGTGGAGTGATTTTGTGCCCTCTATAGCCATCATTCTTCCTGCAACATAAATAGAAAGGAGAAGTGCGCCAAATGGAACTTAACACCAAATAGAGTTTCTTCTCTTCACTAGACAAGATCCTGGTATCTCTTCCTTCCATATCTGAATGTGCCAAAAGGAAATAGGCAACTCAATCAGGAGGAAAAGTAATAAAATGTGAGTTAGGAGCAAATAAATGTTCAGGTAAAACTCATGTTTTTAAAATGCTTTCATTACTAGCCCAAGATCAATCTTTGCTATCTGGCTGTGTGTTTAGCATTTCAAACCTGCCTGAATGTTGCAGGACTTTAATTTGAAAAAGTGTTATATTGTAATTTGACCGACAGGACATGTGTCTGAAATAAATTTCTCCAGAAATTCAACATGTGTAAACTTCCATCTGCCCCTCACCCCATAGACACATGCACACCCCTCTTATTTCAATGCAGTAAGTACAGAAATCCACTTTGCCAGTTATGCGGCATTTAAAAGGCATCAGGTGGTGAATTAGAAAGTTAAAAACACACACCATAGGACCCTGAAAGGCCTGATGGTCCTCTATTCCGAAATTTTTTAAACAAAAGCAAAATCAGCAGATGAATGTGAATACTTAAACTTAGAGGAAAGGCTTTTCCCCCCTCAGGGAAAGGAGTGAATTTTTTGCCAGATGCTTGTAAATTGATACTCTCTGAGAAACTCATAACATGGATAAACCTTTGTTAAGACTAAATACTACAATGTTCCTACAGACAGAGACATTAGCACACATGCTTCTCAGCTATGTACAAAGCTATGTACTTTTACCTTTGGACAAGAGGTAGCACTCAACCCCCAAATGGAGAACCCCTTGAATGAAATAAGGGCTCATCAGTGAAGTAATGTTCTACTAGCAAAGAAAAGAAAATTCAGTAGTTAGATTCTCAAAACTGCCTTGGAACTTGATATAGAAAAATGATGAGATTAAACAATTGAAAAGAAAATGAAAATGATGATGATAGCTTTGTTATTTATATGCCATTGAAGGTATGCAAAGTGCTTTGCATATGTTATTTCAATTGATTCTAACAACAGATTTGTGAGGTAGAAGCCATCTCCCCCAATTTACAGATAAGGAAACTGAGGATAAGAGAGGTTAAATGATTTGTCCAAGGTAACACAGCTAGTAAGTATCTGAAATAGGATTCAAACTCAGTTCTTCTGAATTTCTGCCAGGAACTCAGGAAAATTTCCATAGATAACTTATCTAATTCTCTATCCATAAGAGAGATTATTATTATTTAAAATTTTTATTTATTTTATTTTTAACTTATAAAATAAAACAGATTTTCATAACAGCATAATAATATGATTGCACATGAAACTGCAAGTCTATTGTGTACAGCTTGCTATTCTTTTAAAATTATATATTTTATTATTATATATATATAATAATATTTTATTATATATAAAGTTATCATGTAAATTTCTTTTTTTTCTCTTCCCCCCCAGGTTATTATTAATAATATTTTTGGTCTGGAGTTGTGATTTCATTAGAATAGAACTCCCACTATGGAAATTCCTACCATTTGTGTAAATCAGCAGCTGGAAAGGTAATTGATAGTGTTAGAGACCATGAGGTTAAAGGACTTGCTTTTGGTGAATTAGCTAATACCTGTTACAGGCAGGTCTTCCTGACTGTAATGCTGGCCCTCTGTCCATTATGCCAATCTATCTTTTGAGTTTGGAGTCTGAACCCTTGGGTTTAAATATTGGTCAGACACATACTATCTGTGTGACCCTTTGTGTACAAGTCATTTAATCTGCCTGAAATTCATTTTCTTCATATGTAAAATAATAATAATGCTAATTATTATCAATAAGAATAGATCTGTATTTACATAGAGCTTTCTATATATCAAGCTGTGCTAAGTGCTTTACAATTATCTCATTTGATCCTCACAACAACCCTGGGAGGTAAAGTGCTATTATTATTCCCATTTTACAGAAAAGGAAATTGAGGCAGAGTTTGTGACTTGCTCAGGGTCACACAGTGTCTGAGGCCACATTTCAACGTGGGTCTTCCTGACCCCAGGCCTAACACTGGATCTACTGTGCCACCTAGTTGTCCTAAAATGAGGGGGAATGGGCTAGATGACCCCTAAGATCCCTTCTAATTCTAGGTCTATGAAGGATTGATTCTAGGTAGGAACATATTGTATACTTCCTTTACAGATGGGGAAACTAAGACTCAGTAGCATTAAGTGACTTATTCTGTGATCATACAGCTAATGTTATGACAAGAAGTCAAAAATTTAGGTCATCTAGCTCTAATTCCTGTGTTTTCCCCACCACACCAAGATACTAGGAAGTTCTGTGTTTGGCGAGAATTGCTTAGAAACTAACTGAAAGACTCATACTAATTCACACCTATAAAAACAAAATGTCTTGACCCAAGCATTTCAGGAAGTGGTACAAAAAGTTATGCCTCCCATGCTTCCTCCTATTAGTTGAACTTTCATGTGTTACCATTTATTAGCTGCTGTCACACTGTTCACTTGGGGGTGATAGTGCATTCATGCATGTCCATTCCTGATTAATGAAATTCCCAGAGTTTAAGACATTGAATGGTGGTGGTCATGAAGTCAGTGCTATGCATATTGTAAGGCTGAAACGGTCTCATTTCAGAACTGCTTTGTTTTCAAGGCAAATTATGTAAACAATTTAGTAGAGTAATATTTAATAGAGTAATACCATTTAACGGTCGATGTTTTCACCTTTTTTTTTTGGAGATTGCGCTCATAGATACTGACTTTCCTTTTTTTTTCTTTAATTTTTTAAACTTAATTTTTAAAAATTTAATTTTTTTTTCAATTAACAAGTATTTTTTTTCTTTTCCCACCTCTCTGTCCCCCACTGGAAAAAAAAAGAAACAGAAACCCTTTGTAACAAATATGAGTAGTCAAGCAAACAAATCCCCTAATTGATCATATCTAAAAACGAGTGTCTCATTCTGCCTACTTAGTTCATCTCTTCTCTCTCACAAGGTGAGTAGCATTCCTCATTGGCCAGGAATGCTGACTGGTCATCGATTTGATCAGAGTCCTTAAGTGTTTCAAAGTTGTTTGTTTTTATCATGTTATGGTATGAATTGTTCTCCTGGTCTGCTCACTTTACTTTGCATCAGTTCATACATATCTTCCCAGGTCCCTTATTTTTTTTCTTATAGCACAATAGTATTGCATTACATTCATATGTCCATAGTTTGTCTAGCCATTCTCTAATGGATGGGCACCTCTTTCATTTCCAGGACCTAGCTATTACCAAAAGGGCTATGGGAAAGCAGGAACACTGATGCACTGTGAATTCATGGAGCTATGAATTGGTCCAGTCATTCTTAAAAGCAATTTGAAGCTATGCCCCCAGTTACTAAGTTGTTGTCCCCACTGAAGCAGCTATACTACTATCAGACCTATACCCCAATGAGATCCAAGAGAGGAAAATGGACTGTGTTTCAAAGCCAGTATGCTCCTGCCTCATCGCATGCAATTCAATTCAGCAAACATTTTACAAGCACCTACTCTATGAAATGCACTGTGCACCAAGTGGTAGAGTACAGCAAGGGTAGATGAAATATTCCATTTTTTGAGAACTATGTTGCCTTAAACCTGTAGCCTCTTCATTTCTGGGCAAGCAGTGGAGCCTGAGAACAGGTATGGGAATTAGAAAGACACATGTTCAAACTTGATTCTGTTATTCGTTCACACAGATAAAACACGTGTTTCCTCATTCTTAATGATCATTCCATTAGGTGTTACAATGTTAAGATGACTTCTATGTAGATGAATATGTATAATTTGCTGGTGATTATAAAGTCCATTAAATACATGAAAAGTGTTCAGAACTGCAGATCCTGAAAATGGGGCTGCAATGGTTACTTTGCAGTCCCCAGTCCTGTGACTTTGTGGGGTTCTGCCTCACTGGGAAGCAGCACACATGTGCTTGCCCTTCCCACACCAAGAAAGATGCTCTACACCAGGCAGGAGGCAAGTAAGCTTGTGGATTGTCTGTAATCATCCTTAGCCCCTTGTTGTGTAGACTGCCTTTGTCAGACTCAGAACACTGTTCCTAGGCTTATCTAGGAGTTTGTGATGAATCAATCCCCTACCCCTCCACTCACCACCCCTCCTCCTGACCAGTCTGGACGTTTGCCCTTTTAATCCTACCTGTATCCTTGAACTTCACATGTATTCATGCATTCCAAGATCACTGCTTTTGCTGTGTCCTCCTACTTGTTCCAGATCTCTTAACACCAACAAAATAATGCCTCCGTGGCTATTCCTCCAACATTTGGCCAACCAATTCAGACTGACTTTTGCATTGCTGTCTGATTTCACCAGATTTCTATGCAGATCTGACCACAATAGTTCTTTGGTCAAGAAACTTCAGTGATTCCCCATCATTTTGACATTAAAATATAAACGTATGTGTTCAGAATTTAAAATCCTTTATAATCTGGCACCACACTATGCACTCTATGCTTTAGCCAAACCGGCTTGCTTGCTGTTTCTATACCCAACCTTCTATCTCCTGCCTCCATATCTTTGCTGAGGCTATCCTGAATGCTGAGGCTATCTCAAATGCTTGGAATGCTCTCCTCACTCTTTTCTCTTGAAAGACTTCAAGACTTAACTGAAATGCTATCTCCTTCAAGAGACCTCTCTGAATTCCTCAGGTTAGTAACCTTTTTTCAACTCTCTTTATATTTTTTCATATAGCCTAGATTTATCTGAGAATATGTTGTCTCCCTAGCAGAATGTAAGGTCTTTGATGGCAAGGACTGTCTCACTTTGGGATTTGAATCCATAGCACCTATGCAGTGCATGGAATGGAGGCAATTAATAAATACTTGATTGAGAAGATTGATGCATGTGACTGACCACTCCCTCCCTAACTATGACTTCTCTGTTGACATTGCATTCTCCACCCAGCCTTACCAGCTTAATCAATCCCATCTGCCTCTGCTTTATCACACAGCTGCCCACAATCCAACCCAATTATCAAAAGGGAAGCATGAGGTCTTGCTTCTTACTCTTCACTCCATCATATGGCTAGTGGGACTCTTCTCTTGTATCTCAATTATCCCAGTCTACAAAATGGAGATAGGTGGTACCATGGACTTGGAGTCAGATAGACCTGAATTGAAATCCTGTTTCACATATTTACTAGCTGTGTAACCCTGGCCAAATCACTTAACCTCTTTCAGCCTCAGTTTCCTTATCTGTAAAATGGGGATGCTAACACCTTCCTCCCAGAGTTGTTGTGAGGATAAAATGAAATAATATTTGCAAAGCACTTTCCAAACTCAAGAGCTAGATAAATGCTAGCTAAAAAACCAAGATAAAACAACCTCCAGTTTCCCTTGTCATATGAAATATTGAGAAATTGGAAAAAGAGTTTACTTCCATTTTCATAAACTATCACCCACTGACAGCACTGGAAGGTTAGAGCAGGGGAGCATTTCGATTTAAGAATAAAAAGCATTGTGGACAGTCTGAGGGTCATCATTTAGCTAATTCTTCCTCTGCTTGTCTTGCATGAGAAAAGAGTTGGCTTACAGCTTCAACAAACTGACCCATCATATGGTACAGAAATTGATCATAGGATGCTCTAGTTATGAGCCATTTTGCAAATTTTCATTTCTTTCCTAGTTGAGAATTTTTAAAATGGAAATACATATCCTCATTTGCTTCTAGTTCTCGTTATTTGAGCTCCTGTCTCCTGAGAGAAACAGGTCAGGAGAACTTAGCACCTGTCCTGCTCCAAGCCCTGGCTTATAGCATTTTCCTGATGAGGAAAACAACCTGAAGACCATTTTAGACAATACAACATTAGCCTTCCTTCTGGTCCCATCCCATTTTTGTTTTTGCATGTCACAAAGTTCAGTGAAATGTGTGCTGGATTCAGAGTCAAGGGACTTGCATTGAGATCCCAACTGTGCTACTTATACCCTGTGTGACTTTGGGCACATCACTGAACTTCTTTGGATGTCAGTTTCCTCATCTGTAAAATGAGAAGGTTGAATTACATGACCTATAAGATTCCCTGCAGCTCTAAATCCATATCTTTCTTGCTTTTGTAACTGTCCTCCCATTCACCTATTATTAATCCTGTGTTCATTGGTACCTAACTTTCACCTAACATTTTTGGGGAATGGACTCTCTAATCAAGGAAAGCCAAGAGCTTCAAGTCTGACAGACCCAAATGCACGGCTTTCAGTGACCTGGAAGAATGAATGCAAGCATTAGATGATGTCATATTTTTAAATTAACGAAGGTAGTCCCCTTCTCTCCATCTTGTAGGGATGTTCCATATTTAATTCTTACTAGTGATATTAGATTTGTTTAAAGTATATACTTTTTATTTTAAAGAAGAAATTACTTGCTAGACAAACTTTATTAACATCTTTACCTACAAAGAAATATGAAGAGGCAAGAGGGATAGGACTTAATATATCAGCAGTCACCTTAATCACATAGAGTCCTAGTTTCCAAAGTAGGGAACCAAGGCCTGATCCTGGGGATTGTGTGATCAATCAATCAGAAAGAATGGGAAGATAGGACACATTTTCATCCTTTCCACAACAGCCAATCATAGGGTTTGTCTCCAACACAATCATACCTATACATGTCCATCATGTTCTTCTATTCTGTCTTTTTCCACCTCTTTATGAGTTCCAAACTTCCTTCCTTTTAATCTGGGTATTGGCTGCAGAGGGCAATTATAATCTAACTCTTTCATGGACATTTACAGGAGCAGAGTAGGTGTCTTTGGAGAATACCCTTCTATACCTCCGAATACCAACTAGTCTCAGGCAAGTGTTGTCTACCCACTTCCCCTTTTCATTTTGGGTGGAACAGAGTGAGAAATTCAGAAGAAGCAGGAATGGATGGGTTGTGATCTTCACCCCAATTTCATTATAAGATCTTTCCTCTTCAAACTTCTTGGTTGTTGTTGAAGGCACCATCATCCTCTTAACTCAAGATCAAAACTTTGGTGTCATCTTTGACTTTTCATTCTACGTCATTCTCTCCCCTCCTCCCTGGGCTAATTGGTTGCCAGATCTTATAATTTTTATCTTTTCATCTCTTGCTCAAACTGTAAGTAGCCTATTCAGTTTTTATGCCTCAAAATTCTCCCTTTTTCAGTCCATCCTTTCAGCTGCCAAAGTGATTTTCCTGATGTGCATGTCTGATTGTCATTTCCCTACCCAAGAATCTTCAGTGACTCCCTATTGACTACTGCACTGGATGTTATTTCATCACCGCCTCATTTTTTTTTTGTCTGTTTTTTTATACAATATGCATAATTATTATTGCAGTAGTCGATGCATATCATTTATAAATAAGCAAATATGCATATACTAGAGATACAGTCTCAAATTCTTACTGATGAGGGTAAGCTAAAGAAATGTTTGGAGACCATGATTTAGAGAAGGAAGAAAAGACAAAGAAGAAAAGGCGATATTAAATATCCTAGAAACTTTCTATACCATGAAAACCCTTAGATTTGAACCTTTCTAATTCTCCTCTCCCTTAGTTTAGGGTCTGGTTTTATATTATGCCTTTATGGCTTATGACATGTCTTCAATTACATGTACTACTAGTTGGAGGAAAAAAGATATAGATCAGAGGAATAATATAATAGCACTGGCCCATTGTTAATTAAACTAGAAAAACCTGATCCTTATTGGAGAGTAAATTGAGACATTCTTTGACTATTTCCAAAAATTACATCTATCCATCAAATTTCACTTTTTGTTGGACATGTAAAGAACACAGTGCTTTGATTAAATAGTACCCCTTCCTCCCCACTCTCCCTTCCTGCTCAGGGTCCGAATAAATAACTCTTTTACCATCCCACAGAGCACTGACATGATTAGTCAACTATGGCAGTAATTTGAAAAGCAGATTGACATTTGGCCTCTTTCCTAGGTCAAAAGAGCAGAAGTTGTATACATAATCAACCCTCAAGTTTTATCATCCTCCCCATGTAGAATGATGTAGAAAAGGCAGGCAGAGGCGTCTGTGTAGTGCAGTAGATGGATAGTTAGAAGTGGAATTAAGATGAGAGTTCAAATCCAGCCTCAGACACTAGCTGTGTGACCCTAGGCTAGTCATTTAACCTCTGTCTGCCTCAATTCCCTCTCCTATAAAATGGGGATAAAAATAGCATCTATCCCTCAAGGTGGTTGTGAGGATAAAATGAAATAAAATTTGTAAAGTACTTTCAAAACCTTAAAGTGCCATATAAATACTAGTTATTATTACTAAATCATTGGTCTGATTTTTCATAAGGTACAGTAGGCAGTGGGCAGAATTAGATTTTCTTTCTCCCCATATTACAGTGAAATTTGGCATAAAAATTTAGGCCAGTGTTCTTCATGCTAGAAATTGGGGAAGAGTAGTTTCAAGAGTTCAAGGATCTACCTCACTTACCCTCCCTTTAAGCATCCGTTTAACCCAGTGTGTCCCAAATCAAGCATTTGTGAACTGAGGATATCAGAGCAGTGCCTTTTTCTTTGAGGTGGCAGAAAGGAAACTAGGAAGGCACAGTGGTATAACTAGAGTGAACTGGGTTTGACTCGGCTGTCTTGTACATTTATCATATACAACCCATTGTTGGGTTTATGCTGTAGTGTCTACTCTCAAACACCATGAGGCAGCTGATGGCACAGTAGATAGAGTACAGGAAGACCTGAGTTCAAATCTGGCCTCAGATACTTGCTTCGTGACCCTGGGCAAGTCATTTAACCTGTTTGCTGCAGTTTCCTCATGTGTCAAATAGGGACAATAATAGCACTGACCTCCAGTGGTTGTTGTGAAGACTTAATAATTGTAAAGCGCTTACTACAATGTCTGGCACATAGAAAGCACTGTGTAAATGTTAGTTATTATTATTATATGTTTATTGCTCATTTGCAAGTTTTCTGCTTCTGAGATCATGGTGTGCCATGATTCCAAGCCACATACCATCACTAGGAATATTGGTGTTAAAAAGGGATTTTGCAGTAGAATCAATGAAAGTGCAGTGATACTCCCTTAATACTTTTGTAATTCTGGGCCCAGTTTACTGTTCACAACCATATCACTTGAAGTAACTGGAGATTGTTAGCCTAGAGGAAAGATTTCAGGAGTGGGGGGAGGAGGGAAGGAGAATGTTACTTGTCTTCAGGTCTGCTGAGGGCTGGAGCAAAGATTTGTTTTGTTCTGTTTGGGCTCAGAGGATAGAACAATGGGCACAAGATGCAAATTGTGTTTGATGTTGGGAAAAACTTCTTAGTAATTCAATTATCCAAGAGTCGAATGGATGGCATGGAGGAATGTGTGTGTGGGGGGGTTCCCCCTCCCTGGAGGGCTTCAAGCAGAAAATGACCACTTATCAAATACATCAGAGTGGGCATTTCCTTCATGTCTGGGCTGAACTCGACGGCCCCTGACGATCTATTGAACTCTGAAGCTTGAAGATATTTTTACTAACGAACCTCAATCAGCTGCCAATCTAACTTCACATTAATATTGGGCAACACCTATTACAGTGAGCCAAGAAAAAGGGAAAAATATAAGGCAACAACATTTAGTAGCAGTCTTAAGTATTTGTTGAATTAATAATTGCATGCACATTTCTTTTTATTTCAAAGGGAAATAGTCTGTTATCTTCAAAGCAATCATGGGATCATCATTCTTTTGGTGATTGACTGTAAGTAAACAAAGGTGACTCAGTTGTCTCTCCCCTGTGTTTTCATTAAGCATTTTGTATCTTACTGAATGAGTACACTTCCACCAAATATACATGCCTTGATGGAAAGACAAAAATATGGAGGTACAATGTGATGAAATGATCCTGATTGGCTGTATTGTCAAGATGCACCCTGATTTTTGAATTCTGCCAAACATATTTGCCTTCACAGTATTATCCTTGAAATGACCTTGATCGATGAGATGAGATACATGTTTTAAATTGCAGCCTCCTCAATTGCCTAATCTCTTTGAACTCAGTGGGATGGATTGATCATGATACAGCAGCTCCAAGCATGTGTCCCTTTACTTCCTAAGAAGATTATTATCTGCAAATTAACTGAAATGATTAGTTTCTGATTGGCTGCTCCCCATTGTCCATGTAGATATTCAAGATGGCATTTGAGCCTTGCTTGGAAAATTCAAATGACAGGCAGCAGGTAGGACTTTAAAAACTGCTCAAAGACCTGCTCCATTAAAATAAAAACGCCAAATGTTTGGAGGCTCTCTCTCTGTGTTGCAAGTGCCATTGGTTACTGGGCTGTCAGATGTTGATGCAAGTGGTTCAACTGGGGTTTGTTGGTGGTTGGGAATTTAGTAGTTCTCAATAGGGCCATGCCAACACCATCACACTTGCCATAAACTAATGGAAACATATGTCCTGAATTTTCAATATGACTATTTTATAGACAATAGCGGGGGGTAATGTGGCACAGTGGATAACCTTGGAGGCTAGAAGCTTTGGATTCAACTCTACTCACTGACACAATTTGTGTGACTATGGGCAAGTAGTTTCATGTCAGGCCATTTCATATCTCACCCCAGACAGCTCTCTAAGGTTAAGTTACAAAGGAATTGTTGATCTGCATTGGTAGAGGGAGTGTCCATATTGGGAGCTCCCTACACCAGTGAAATTATAGGTTTGGCTCAATAATACTTAGGGTAAAAAAAAAAATCACTAACAATTACTACTATCTTCCATTCATGCTTTTTAATTTATAAGGAATTTTAGAAATTAATAAATTCCCTCAAGCAGAATATAAGTCCATAGAATTAGGGACTATTACCCATTTCTCTTTTTAAACTCAGTTTCCTAGTTCAGTGATTGGCATATAATAGACATTGAAATGTTTGTCAAATTCGATTGACTCGGGCCTTGAAAAGGTCACAGCTGTACTCAATTTGGTTGCCTAGGGTTTATTAATGGATCAGTTTGCAAAAATGGTTTCCAAATTGTTCTTTATCAGTCTGAGAACTTACTGATGAGCATTCCTAATGTATAATACTTCTATGAACAGACTACCAAAAGCCCATCAAGAACTGGAACGAAATTGGGATGAACATCTCCAAAATGTCACCATTTGTACAAAGAGGGCAATGCAGTTTCCTTTCCATGGCCTTCCAGAGATTTGCTCTGAATACAACTTCCTGTGTTTTTTCTTTTTCTTTTTTTTTTTTGGTGAGGTGATTGGGGTTAAGTGACTTGCCCAGAGTCATACTGCTAGTGTTATGTGTCTGAGGACGCATTTGAACTTAGATCCTCCTGACTCCAGGGCTGGTGCTCTATCCACTGTGCCACCTAGCTGCCTCTTGCTGGTACTTTTGAGGGAGGAAATAAGCATTTATTAAGTGCCTTCAACGTGCCAGGCACTGTGCTGAGTGCTTTACAAATATCTCATTTGGTCCTCAAAACAATCTGAGGGGGCAGGTGCCATTATGATCTCCATTTTACAGATGAAGAGCCCAAGGCAGATTAAATGAGTTGCCCAGGGTCATACAGCTAAAAAGTCTATTAATCTGAACTCAGGTCTTCCTGACTCCAGGCTGAGCCCTCTATCCACTGTGCAACCTACTTACTTCTGAGAACAAGGCCACTACAAAACACGTAACTTACGGCCTCAAAGAGCTACTTGCCAAGAGGCAGCATCTTGTGTGGGCAAGAAGATGGGCTTGCAGTCAGGAATATGAGGGTTTGAATTCTGCCTCAGACACTTACTCAACCTCTCTCAGCCTGTTTCCTCACTCGTAAAATGGGGATAATATAACCTGTAGTATGGATCTCATTTTTAAAAAAGATTCAATAAGATAATGTCTGTAAAGCACTTTGTGACGTGCCAGTTATTATTATTATTAATGTTCTTATTCAGGTGCATACCATCAGAGATCTGTTCCTCAAAATGTTGACTAAAACTTATTCTGGGTTAACAGAGGAAAAAAAATTATTCCAGTTGTTTCTTTATCTATAAAATGAGGGGTTTGGACTTAACAGCCTATGTGGACCCTTCTAGCTTCCTAAAATGTTAGGAACTACACTTTTAAAAGTCCTTTTATCAGTCCCATTTCAAATTCCAGTAGGCCTCACAACAGAAAAAAATAACTTATAGAAAAGTTAGAATTTAATGTAGAGATGCAAACACTATTTACAGTCCCCTCTTCCTATTTTTAGAAGAGTAGAGAGTGAAAGGAACCACAGGTTTATGAGCAATGATATATGGGAGTCCTGTATTTTTTCTTTTGATTTCTGAAAAAAGTCTATATGAAAGACAAAACCTCATAGGGCCTAAACCATAATATTTACTTTTCCAATTATGTTCATCAAATTGTTACAGAAGAAAGAACACTCAATTTTCAGTGAGAGGAACAGGACTCAAATCCTACCTTGGACACTTTGGGGCAAGTCATATCCTTTCTGGGCTTCAGTTTTCTCAGGACTAGAGAACCTTTAAAAGTCTCTTCCAGCTATAAATCTCAGATCATAAGTTTCCCTTTTTTTTGTGAGTCATAGGGTATAGAGATGGGGAGGATTCCATCTGTAAACAAAGTATTTATAGCACCATATTTTTTAATACCTATGCAACAAATAAATGTCCATATCCGCTGTCCTATTTCCCTCCAGCTCAGGAATGATTGGGTCCAATGACGGCAGAAAGAATAACACCTAAGGGAACTGAAATCTCTCCTAAAATGGAAATGTGGAAACTGCAGGTAATATGCCTTCCCTGTAAAAACATATAAATATTTACTACTGAGGAGTCATGTGAAAGACTTTCAAGAAATGTCAGAAATAGAGGCTCAAGACAAGAAAAAACCCAATCCTGTCAGGTAAGTGTGAAATAAGCAAAGAAGTAAGAAGCTATTTTGGGAATCTGGATGAAACTCTTCTAGATGGGCAGGAAGATGTTGCTATAGCTACAATTAAAAGCACTGATGCTCAGAATAATGGACATTTGGTAGCAATTCACTACAGCAGAGTTTAATCCAGACTGCTTCCTATAACTATGGCTCCTAAAGATATTGTGGGGGTGGGAGATGAAAGGATAAAGAGAAAACACCACCAAGAATGGCTGCACCAGGAGCAATTTATTAGCATAACACTTTTTTTTTAAGATTTCATTACAACTGAAGTATGTACAAAGTCTTACAGCATTTACACCATAAAAAAGTTTCTGATTAGCTGATGAAGTATATAAGGTAGGGATGCAATGTACTTCAAAGCATGAATATGATAATGATGAAGCAGGCCACTGTACTTTCAACTTTTTTGCTACCACACCACAACTGTCTGCTGAATGACAGTTCATTAAGTCATTGGGAAGACATCGATTGTCTTGAAAGGGGTTTGGGGGTGGGGAAGTAACAGGTCAATGTGTTGCACTAACAACCATAAGGAGAAGGGAAAAGAAAAAGAGAAACTACAAACTGCTGTATTTCTACAGTTTCTAGAGCTGTAATGGACGTTCACAGCCTGAGATATAACATATGCAAGACAGCAGAATCACGCCTTTTCAGATACAGTTCAGCTACTGAATATCTTTACTTTTGAATAGGAGGCTTTATGCTAATATGGCTGTGTGTTTCCATTTTTTTTCATGAACTCTTAGAATACGTCTAACCCCACAAGCCCACCCTTCCCCTCAAAAAAAGAAAAAAGAAAAAGAAAACTTTTTGATAATTTTTTAAAAGGGAGAAAAACAAGGCATTTAGTATCAGCTTTAGGGTCCAGCCATTCCTGTCAAAAGTTTAAGACTGGGAATCTTTGAATGATCACAAAACGTTGCTCCACCCCCCTGCTTCCTCACATCAAATATTGTTCACACCACCACCTCCCATGTTTCCTTGGGATTAGGCTACATAGACCCAGAGGCATTTCTATACTGACTCAAATTCAAGGCTTGGCTAAATTATTTCACTTAAAAGAAATGCTTAATGGTTTGTGCCTCCAGACTACAGCTTCAGGATGTGGCATGAAAATTTCAGGCAGAAAGTGATAAGTATTTTATTTTCCATTCTATTCCTCTAGAAACTTAGATCCTTTCAACTTTGCTTAGGCCAATGCATCATTTTTGAGATGAAATCCACTTTCCCCCCCCATTCTTACTCTTTCACTTGTAGGCTAAGTGGGCATCGTTTAAAAAAATAATTACTTAAAAAAAATTCCATTCCCAACTCAAAAGCCAATAATATAGGTTGACAAATTTTAATTAAGACACATAAAGGTGGGCTATAAAAACACAACAACTACATAAATATTGAAGAAGTCATTATGCCATTTTCATGTAAACAGTTCTGATTAGAGAATGAAGCCCTAACTAGATTCTGGTCTTAAACTTTTGGCAGATAACATGTATGCTCAGCCAGGCTCTGTGGTTATTGTTCAAGTGGAAGCCAGGTCAGTTCACATGTTGACAGGCATGCAACTTGAAAACATTGCACAACAGGCAACACAAATAGATTGGAGAAGTTTACGAAACTTCAAGTAGACTTCACGACCCTTCACAACTGACTATTCACAGACAAAGACATGGTCCTTCCTCATCTTACTGTGGGGAGTCTGCCTCCCCCCTTCTCTCACACATGAGATACTTTCTGTGACTCTCTTGCTTGCTTGATGCTATACAACCACTTGATGATTCGGGCATTTCTCTCGATTGCAGAAATGCCATAGGGCACCCGGTCATTGGCACTGTCGTCATTTCTAAGGTCGCTGTTGCTGTCCTGAGACTGTTCACAGTCTGAGCTGATCATGCTTGCACTGCGAAAGTTAAGGGATATGATATCCGAGTTAGCCCTTGCAAAGTTTTCCATCCCGAGGTTTTCAAGCTCTTCGGGATCCAAGCCGCAGTAGTTAAAGAATCTCTCCACATCTGCATCCACACGAAAGTATCTGTCACTCAAGTCTGATTTGGACCGCTGCAGGGAGGGTCTCCGGCTGACGCCACAACTGGGTTCCACTGCGTCCATTTCGGGAGATTTCATGGTGGCAATGGCGGCAACCTTGGGTTTGGGGGGCAGCGGTGGCGCTGAACTACTGCAAGGTATTGCTTTTAAAGGTTTCACGCTAGTCACTTTCCGAATGTCCGATGAGCTATGGGAAACGTGCAGGAAGGACTCTGCTGAGTGTTCGAGCAGCCTTCTGCTAACGTTTGAGTTGCTCTCCTGGGGGCTGCTGCGGCCTTGGGTGGGGTAAACCTTTAGGGATTCTGCAAACGAGTGTCGGTTTAGTTCTGCGGAATCCGACCTGTGGGGTGGCCAGTTTCTGGCACTGTGTTTGTGACCTGAACCTGAGCTGGAGCCTTCAGAACTATTAATAATGTTTTTCAATATCTCAAGTTTTAAGTTCTCCCTTTGCACACCACTCTCAGTCTTTGTATTGTTGTTAAACACTTTCAGGGTAGGGCTGCCCAAGGCTCTCTTTGCAGCAGGGCAGACAGGTGGCTTTGCAAGCACAGCTGGCTTCACAGGCTCCTGTTTGGCATTGATGACCTCTTGGCTCTTGACATATTTTGCCTTATCAGCTTCTAGTCTTTCCACTGCACTAAGTCTTTTGGGATTAGGCTCTGCCTGCCTGCGGAAATAGTCTGGTCCTTTGTTCAAGATGCGGAGCGGGACCGCCGATGTGAACGTGACAGCCGGACTGACAGGTTTCACCATGCTACCTGTCTGTAGTGTCTCTGTAGGCATGTTGGGTGGTCTTTCCCCCGCAGCCGTTTTGGATTCTCTTCTGGGCTCTTCTGAACGGACTTTGTAGAAACATATACATTAAGCACAAGGAATAGTGGATGAATCTTTGGAATCTGGCGTTAGCGGTGCCTCATCTCACAGAGTTCATTAAATGCTACTGTGTTTCTCTCCTCCCTTCCTTTAAAGGCAGGCTTGTGTGCAAAGGGCCACCAGACACAAGTCCGTTTAAATCTGCTCTGCTGATTCCTTTCTTCTCGCTAAAGGATGTGAGAGTCTCTCTTCCGTGGTCTTTGTGCTCAAGACAGGCAGGGATCTGAAAAACAAAATAACCAACCACGGGTTAGGATTAGTGTGTGACATCATAGCTATAGCAACAGAGGAACTCTGTAGACTCCTTTAGTCACTGGCTGAATTACAGCCCCAGGCGGTGCAGTCAAAGCAGGCTGTGTGACTGGAAGCATTCATACCATCACACCTTTGGATAGCATGCATCAGTTACAAATGATGAAAAACTCGGGATTAATGGATGAATGCATATACGCGTCTGAGCCAGCATCTGATTTAATCAATTCTACATAGACAGGCTCAATCAGATCATAAACAGAAGCTCAATCAAAACTAAGCAACTATTCCAGCTGTTTTTCTAGAAGTGAGGAGCCTCCTCTGGGCTGTGCTGAACAAAGGCACTGTGTAGAAAGAAACATGGGCATTGGAGTCCAAGTGCTAGGAGTGGCATCTTATGTCATAACTTTTTAAATGCCACTCTGTTTCTCCGAGAAATCTTACTTTGCTCTAGACTGCACTTTCCATTGTCTGTATGCCATTCTTTTTTCAATGGAAAGAATGATCCCAATTTCTGGATCACACAGGAAATAATCATTTCCTTTTCAAGTCTCTCAAAAGCAGAAAGAATGGGTCAGGGGTTCAGACAGGAGGGAGAGACAGACAGCATTAAAGCCTCTCCTTGTTATCCACACACATCCATTGTAAGACATTCTATCTCAGCATCTCAGCTCTGGGCATTTTCTGTGGCTGTCTCCCCATCCCTGGAATGCTCTGGCTTCTGGCTTCCCTCAAGCCCCAGCTAAAAGCCCATCTTCTAGAAGAAGGCTTTCCCAACCCCTCTTCATTCTAGTGCTTTCCTTCTTTTAATTTTTTTTTCTATTTATGCTGAACAGAGCTTGTTTGTATATCTTTATTTGCTTGTTGTCTCTTAATTCTAGCGATTTCCTTCTTTTATTTTTTCTATTTATGTTTGAATTTATGTGTGAATAGAGCTTGTTTGTGTATTTTATTTGCTTGTTTTCTCCCAATTAGGTTGTGAGATCTTTGAAGGCAGAGACTGTCTTTTGTCTCTTTTTTGTATTCTCGGCACTCAGTACAGTGCCCGTCACATAGTAGGCATTTAATAGTAGTAGTCAAAAATAGAAAATCAGTAGTAAAAAAAAAATTAGTAATAGTAGAAGTACAGTGCCTGTCACATAGTAGGCACTTTCACATACAGGTAAGGGACAGCATTTAGGATAGAGAGCTGGCCATGGAGTCTGGAAGACCTGGATTCAAATTCTGTCTCTGATACACACTGGTGGTATAACCTTAAACTTTCAGTGGCCAAAGCAAATATCAAATTATAGGAGTTGGTAATCTATTTTAGTGGGGGGAAATTTTACATAGGAAGTTCCCTAAAGCGATGAAAGCAATCAAGGAATATTTATTAAGTTTCTACTATTTCCCAGGCACTGAAGCTAAATTTTGAGAGTATAAAGACAACATCGTGACAGTTCTTGCCCTCAAGAAGCTTACAAGTAAGAACATAATTTCAATACACTTTCTCTGTGGGGTTTTTAGATTTTTAATGAAATCACCTGTCCAAATCCCTTCACTTGCCTAATATAAAACCAATCTTCCCCCTTGTGAAGCAAGACTATATAGTATAGTCTTAAGACTTAGTCTATCAAATAATACAAACTTTTCTTTAAATCTTATTTGGACAAGAAATCTAGACTGATTTAAACATCAGATATAAGGAGAAACATTTTCCTACTTGGAACAACTGCAAATATATGGACCAAATCTTTCCTTATTAATGGAGTATGGGTTCTTACTACTTCAGTACCTGGAACCTGCTCACCCTGGAACATTCCTCTTCCATGAGGGTCCCCTTCTCTTATTTGTAAGTTCCTTTGGGGGGGGCCTCCCTTTTGGGGATGGGCCTAGGCTGGCCATGGCTCATTTCTCTCCCAGCTGAGCTTCTGACTCTATGGATTTTGCCTTGAATCCCCTGGGTAGGTACCTTCATACCTTCTCCTTTCCCTTCAGTAAGCACTTTGAAGGCAGGGATTGTCTTTCTTTTTGCTTGTATTTGTATCCCCCATGCTTAACAGAGTTCCAGGCACAGAGTATATGATTAATAATATTTATTACTTGCTTAACACCTAGCTAAAAACAGCAGCTTCTTTTATATACTTAAATTCCTCAATTCCTACATTATCAGTATCATAATCTTAAAATGTCAATCAAGTATGCTTTATACTGTTTAAAACTTGGGTAGTGTTGAACAGTATCTGCTTATAGGAATAACAGGTAGCTTCCTGAATAATTTAATATTAAAAAACCAACAACAATCCCTTGACTATACTTGCCAATATATAGCAAAAACATCCCAACACAAGATTGCTATGAAAGGCATGTTAACATTCAACTTAATACACAATGCCTTGAAATTTATCTTTTTCAGCTGGATGACTTTATTACCTATTGTTAGGATCGGAGAACACATGAAAAAAAAAATCTGTATTCCAAAGCAATTGGTTAATGGCCTTCTTAATTTTTATTGCTGTTTTCCAGTTATCTGTGTTGCCCCTTTCTTCCCTTCTCATTTTGAAATAAAAATGATTGCTTTGGCCAAAAGAAAAGAAAAAAAAACCCCACCAAACCTACACTCACTCTCCCTCTTCCCCAACCCCTCCCTAGGGTTCTTTAGACCTGGGTTACTTTAATCTTAAATTTTCCCAAGACACAGAATCAGCACATCTTATCATCTTCCTAAGAAAGCTGATTGCCATCACCTTCATGCAGAGTTATAATTAGGGAAACTAAAATTTAGAAGATTGAGGCATTGAACCAAAATGTCAAGTGACTATTTACTTACTCAAGTAAATACAGTGATATTCACATAAAAAAATGCTCCATTCCCATAGTAAGGAAAGAAATAAAGTGCATATTACTAATAACACAATTAGAAACAACTGATTTCTCTCCTTGAAGTCTTCTGAAATACATTCTCTAAATGCAAACCATCAATTTCACTTTGATGATATAAACTAGACATGATTTCAGTAATCTGCTCAGGGGCCTGCCATACTAAAAACATTTTCCTATTCAGGGTCTAAGGAGCCCCAAGGCAACTTCTGCATAAATGATTTCCCCTGAATTTGCAATTCCACATTGACATTTCAATTCTGTTTAAAAAGAAACCTCTTCTCATTAAGCTCAGAATGTTGTTTGTTTGAACAAATCTGCAATGAAACTTAGAAGGCAAAAAGAAATTCTCCTTTTGAGAGTCAGCCACCAAGTTGCTGTAAAGTTTCACCTGGAAAAGTTGTCCCCCATCTTAAAATGTCATGACTATGAAGAGATCCCAACTTTCTTGGGAAAAAATAATGATGGCAACAGTGGGCTACTGTGAGAGTAGAAGACCATCTTTACTTACATACCATACCAGAGAGGGAGGCACAAACCTGGCTACAGAAAGTCACAGGAAGATGGAGTGCTGAACAATGTGGCAATTCTGTTACCCAACCATTTGGTACTGTCTAGGGATAAGTCAGTCTCTAGATAGGGTGGTATTGCTAACCCCACTTACTGCACTGGTGCTCTCCAATTAGCCTGCTTTGAGGAGAGAATATTAAAATCCATTGAAACCTATCAGCATTCACTCTAGTTTTACCTGATGGTCATTGAGACATGGTGGGATGGAAAAAATTCTTCACTCTACAGCCACCCTAGTGATGATTCTCTCTCCAGTTTTAGTTGGGCTGGTCTTTGGACAACAGAGAGACAGGCTACAGCATCTGTACTAGAAGTCTTGCAAGTCTGGACCAATCTGCCAGAACTTACTCTCCAAATGGAATATTCTGTGACAATCTAGAGTTACCTCCTATATTTAGAAAAAATAAAAATCTCAAAGAAAAGGCCTCTCACTAACGATTTTACTTTTTTCTTCTCTAGTTCTGGTTATTTCATTGTCCTAACCAGAACAATATTTGGATTACAAAATAGTATATAGCCTTCAACTTTAGAACAATAACGTTTTGTCTGAACACTCATTTCTCAAATGCCTCTCCTTTCAAGGATAACATTTACCACTTATGCAGCTCACTGAAATGTTATAAGGATTAATAATAACATATCCAGAAAGAGATTGGAATTCTGCTGTTGCAGAGAAAAGTAGTTTTTCCTCCCTTGTTTTGTTATTAATAGTTGCTCTCTTTCTCTGAATTAGACTGAATTTGATAAGGGAGCATAAAGCTTACAGATGAGACTAGTAAGACAAAAGAAAAGCATGCCAAAGGATTATGTAATAACCTGGGGGGAATCCCCAAAGCCTGGCCTATTTAATGCTTCATGTTTTAGGAACGATTTAATCAACAAAATTAGAATACTTACTATGTCCACTACAGCTTAGGTGCTGGAGATAATTAAACAAAAAAGTGAGAATCCCTAAATCTTCAAGGAGTTTATATTGTACTGAGGAGATACAACATAAACATGGAAGAACTAGGAGCCATGGGAGGACATTGCAGAGAGCTAGATTAAAGCTTAATGTTCAAAACTGGATCAGGAGATAGTGATTACCTCACTAGGAAGTATTGAAGCAAAGGCTGGACGACCACTTGTTGGTCTGTTTTGTTACAGGCTGGATTAGATGTCCCCTGAGCTGTGGCATTTTAATGTTCATATCTCTATAACCTAGCACCGTGTCTCATTCACAGACAAGCTAGATATATTTTTATTGAATTGCAAGGAATTCTACTTGATGCCAGAGGGGAGAAAAGCAGATAAAAATAAAATAAAACAAAATAAACCCAAACAATTACAAAGTACAAATGTTCTCCCACTGAATGTAGGCAGAACTACTAGACCCCAGTATTGGAGGTCTTCAGGCAAAGGTTGAATACTTGTAAATATTTCTTCTCAGGTCTGAGTTAAGTTAGATGATCTCTACTTCCCAGTCTCCTCCAGCCATGCCTTCAGCACCCATCTCTACTCATCATCTGAGAATGGACTCCATCCCTGGAGCAACCCTTTGGATTTTGAGAAACCAGTTTTGACCTCATCTTGATCAGTTTCAGGCCTCCACTGCATTTCTGGGACATCCCCAGAAATGATACCATTTCCATATACATCTCCCCACTTCCAGCTCCCCAGTTTCCATTTATGTGTTGTTTCTACCTACTAGAGTGGAAAGTTTTATCTGTCTTTTATTTGTCTCCCTAGCACTTAGCACAGTGCTGGCACACTGTAAATGCTTAATAAATCCATTATCTATTTATAGCTACCTCTTAGGTTCTGTCCAATACTGAGATTCTATTGCAGAGGCTATGCAAGGTACCAGCACTGCCTGGTAACAATTGGAGGACACAGGCTCACATCACAGTGAAAAAGACATCGAAGGGTACACCCATCCACTTCAACACCCCAAGGAGCAATCTGAATTGTTAGTCTACTAAAATTCTGGATTGACTGGCACCCCAGATTTCTAGTACGACTAATGGCAAAATGTCAAGCATAATTCATATTTATGTAACTGGGGTAGCTATTTCATTTTGAGGTAAATTCTTAGAATTTTAGGGTTTGAAGGGGCCTTAAAGAGTATTTAGTTTTCATTTTCTAGATGAGTAAAAGGTACCCCAAAAAACTTAATGAATTTATCCAAGGTCAAATAGTATCGAATTGTTATTTGCTTATTAAGTTTTGGCACAACTGTCTAACTTGGCTGGAAGCCAGTCCCTTCTGTCTACATTCCTGGTTGTCCCAATTTAGACAAGCAGATTCAATGACTTCATAATTTATACAAAGATAGTCCTCAAAGTATCAGCTGAATATTTAAAAACAAACATTTGAATTATCCAGAAATTTAAAAAAAGTACAAGAATGTTTTATTCCACAACTTAGAGGTACATCCTATCAAAAAACCCACCAATGTTTACTGAACACCTAATAGACAGAAGTCATCATGCTAGATGCAGTAAGGAATACAAAGAAACACAGGGTATTCTCTCAGGAGGCCTAAAAGAATTTATAACCTATACAGGGGGATAAAACACATAGATATAAAAAGCTAACCAATGAGACAAAGCCATATATTGGTACCAAATGAATGAGCCAGATGCTAAGTGCCTCTGGAGTTTGGAGATGGATGAGAATGCCATGTTCTGAGGTGGTCAGGGAAAGTTTCATTACCCTTAAGATGGCCCCTAGAGGATGGATAAGATTTTAGATGGAAAGAAGAGAGAGCGCCCTGCATGCTGGGGATGGATGGTGGTTTGAGCAAATCAATTAATTAGCCAATCAATCGAGAAACATTTATTAACCAGCTAATAGTATCCCAAAAGTCTTCATGCAGTTTAAAGCATTAAGACTTCAGCAACATAAATGCTACAAAATTACAAAAGAACATAATTTGAAAGTCTGATTATTAGAAATGTAAAAACATTCATTTTTCTTATTAAAATTCAACATAGCCACCATATTGTGCTATTATCACTCTAGCTGATTTCTGAACTTTGGAAAAACTGTCATCAGCTGCTGCTCAGTGATGGAAAGTATTGCATTTGTAATCTTAGCCTTATGATCACTCCAAGATAGTATTTGATGCAAGCATGACAGTTTTGACATGACCCCACATGAAAAAGTCTAATGGAGATAGATCAAGTGACCAAGTTGGTTAAGCAAGAAGATATTCTGTGCTGATCCATCATTCCGAGAAACTGTTATCCAGAAAGTGGTGTACCAGTAAAATGCCCCATCTTGTTAAAATTTTTAAAAAATATTATTGAAATTCACAAAATTAAAGAAGTATTTTCAAATGCTGTTTTTTTTTTCACATTTCTAATATACTTCTGAAGTTACTGAAGCTTAAAACTGTACTCATTCTTATGGGACACCCTGTATATTCCTGGCACTGGGCTAGGTGAAAGTATGGCAATGGAAACAAAAGAGGGATGCTGTCTTTGAAGTGCATACAAATGAGGTTGTGTTCAAAAACCAACTTCTTTGGGATGTGGTTTACTGTTAATAATGACACTGATCTAGAACTTTCAGGAATCCATAAAGCTATTCCACCTTACATATGTAGCATAATTTATTAATTTTAAAGTTAGCAAATTAATACAAAAATAAGTTTTTACTATCTAAAATACACTAACACATGAAGGTTATGTGAAACAGTGAGAATGGAGCATCTCTGGGTATGAGCAAATCAATCGATTCATGATTTAGCAGATGAATCCCTCAGAATAGAGAGGTTTAATGACTGAACCCAGTTCTTCCTAATGCTAAGTCCAGTGCTCTGTCTATATCATGCTGCCTCTAATCTATCCCTACCTTTGTAAATGGCATTTATTTCTCTCTCAAAACCATGGATTCATCCTTGACTCCTTCCTCCCTCCACTTCCACATCCAAAATATTCAATTAACTCTACATATTATTTCTTGTATTTCTTGAACACAACTTCAGTTTGTAGACAATATTTCTCTTTTATTTTCATCATCATACTTTCCCTTAGCCATTCCTTTTTATTTCTACTGTCAACCTATATTTGAACTATTACAGTAGCATCCCTGTTGAAATCCCTATTCCTGGTTAAAAGGTATCCTTACACTGATGAATCTTGCTTGAGAGCAATTTTGTACATGTTATTCTTTCTGCAGAAACTTTTTTTCTCCCACAGGATAGAATCCTAATTTCTTAGCCCAGTATTCAAGAGTTCTCCCAATTTGGCTTCCAATCTTCTCCCTTTATCCTACAGAAGTTCTTCAATCAAACTCAGCTGGTCTACCTATGTACATTTCTCCTTCTACACCTGTCCCTACCTAGAAGACATGATGCATGTTGAGGAAAAGAATTAGAAATACCTTCTTTTGCATTAAACTGCTGGTGTAAGGTTGTGTGACCCAATACTTCTTTATTTTATCAATGATGCATATTTGCCATGCTAGTAATGAAATCACAGACCTCTGAAAATTGGAAATATTTTATTCTCTGGCTCTTCCAGCCCCCAATGGAATCCCCCACCCCACTTTCATTTAATTCCATAGCTATTCTCTGCCATCTTAAATGATGCCTATTTTGGAACAAATACCCCTTCTATTAAGAATTCTGGATTGCTTCAATTATATTTCCTTAACATCAATGAAACAACCTTAAATACTTACGGAAGTTCATATCTAATTAGTCTGATCAAAGTATGATAACTCATTTTGCTGAGGACAGCATTAAGTATTATATCCAACAGCATTAATGGAAATCAATTGCATTTTCTCTGTACCTTCACATAACTTATAAACCACTACACACACTACAGAACTATTCCTCATGATGCTTTTGTAGATGTATGCCTAGAAACAGCTTGCAATTTCCTTCGTAAAGAATTTTTATACTTAAGAGTATTTCAAAAAAAGTAATATGGCATTGCATAAAATTTCCAGCTAAGGAACTTCTGACAAATTGTTAATGATATTCTGGTTATCATAAGAAAGATAAATTCACATTTCAAAGCAAAACATACTTAAAATTTACTGGCCAAAGAAAGTAAATGTCATCCCTTTTGGGAAATTTTCACTTATCTATTCTAATTAACAGAAGGTTTTTTCTATCCTCGGTTTCTTCCCTTTGCATTTTAAAAACATGACCCTTTTACTGCTGGCACACAATCAACAAGGGTAACTTGTAAATTCCATTTGCAGTTGAAGAATAACTTGCAAGGAATGCAAAAGGGGGAGAGAACAAAAGCCAAGAAAAAAATGGAAAAGGGACAATGAACCATAAGCTAAATTGGGAATGGATTTAAATTCATGCCCTATAAATTGAACAGAAGCTAAAAAGCCACAAGGCCAATCAACTGGAAACAGTAAGTCAAAGCCACCATCCTTTTCATGACCTTAACTTTTTTTTTTTCAATTACTAAATGATAAGTATCTTCTTCTTTCTCATCTCCATGGCAAAATCCCTCATCCATGCTGCAATCATCTACTATTCTGACAACTGAAACTTCTCCTTACTGACCTCTCTAACCTTCCCCTTGGCAATTCAATTCGAAATAACAGTAAAATAATGTCCCTTCCCTCCCACGACTATCACTGTGTTCTCTTGGAATCTGGTACATTGATATTATTTTCCTAAGAGCATTTAAACCTCCTGTGTGTCTTTAAATTTGGTGCTACTATACACTTAGCTTGGGAACTACCATCCTGGAGCCATGCTGTTTTGACTGGAGAGCCCAAGTTAGTGCAGAAACACATGGCCTGCTGTACCCGGCTTGCTCCAGACCCCAGATCAAGCTTCACATCCCATCTAACCATCTATCCCAGACATCATACTGTCATCTCCTAGTTATCTCTGCAGCTAGGTGGTGCAGCAGATAGAGCTCTGGACTTGGAGTCAGGAAGACTCCAATCCTATTCACGCATTTAGTAGCTATGTGACTATAGATAACTCACTTAACTACCCTTTGCCTCAGTTTCCTCGGTTGTAAAATAATAGCACTTACCTCACAGTGTTGTGAGGCTCAGTCGAGGTAACGCATGTAAAGGGCCTTGCAATCCTAAAAGTATGATATAAATGCTAGTTATTATTATCAACAACGCTGTTGCTCCCTCTAGTCCACAGGACCTCCAGAGATCATGAGCGAGGTGCTGTCCTAACTGGTGAGTCTATAGGTGTAAATGAACATGGTCACACACTGTGCTTCATGCTTCCATCTTCCTTGCCGTCAAGCCCATCCCTTCCTTCCTTTTCAGGTTATTACTGTAAGAACAGTAATCTGTAGTGGCCATTAGGTGGCACAATGGAGTGCTGGGCCTGGATTCAAAAAGGCCTGAGTTCAAATCCAACCTCAGAGACTAGCTTTGTGGCCCCTGGGTCAGTCACTTAACTGCTATGTGCCTCAGTTTCCCCATATATACAATGGAGATATTAATATCACCTACCTCACAGGGTCTTAAGGACTGAATGAAGTAACTGTAAAGCTTTTAGCACAGTGCCTGGCACATAGTAGGTATTTAATAAACATTTATTTTCCCCTACTCCAATCATATCAATGTCACCATTACTTTTGGAAAGGATGTCTTAGTTGATTCTCCTATGCCTCTGCCCCTGTACTTTCCCATCTGAGGGGAAAGGCCAATTACCTGTTCCCTTCCATTCAGTTGAGACTATCCCCATAAGACTCACTTATGAGAAGGGCACTCCCTTGGGTACCAAGTTTATGAGCATAGAGGTGGGTATCTTCTTTTCTACTTCCTTTTCAAGTCACTCCAATTTAATAAACATTTATTAAGTGCCTACTACATCCTAAGCCCTAGGATTATGACAAAAGCAACACAATATCTGCCTCAGAGGAATTATATTCTTGGGGGTGGGGAGAACAGCAGGTATACAGAGAAGTGAATTAAAACACACACAAAATAATTGAGGGGACACCAACAACTTGTGTGTTTGTATGTGGGGGGGATGGGAATCAGAAACACCGTGTGTGCCATGTGCCCCTTGAGCTAAGCCTTGAAGAGAACTAGGGAAGCAGAGAGGCAAAGAGGAAGACGAAGGGCCTTCTGGACGTGGAGAACATATTAAGTACTTAAAGGCTGAAAACTGATTCTGGAGAAAATGTGTCAGCTACTGCAAACAGCAAGTAGGTCAATTTGGTTGGGACACAGTGGGTAGGAAGAAGAGGGCTGTGTCTGTAAGAGCTAGGACTGAGTCTTCTCTAAATGTGGTATTTCCCCTCACTTACTAGTTCCTGCATACACGAGATGCATAATAAGTGTTTATTCAATGACTGAAGAAATTTAACCTGCACGTGCTTAGAGTTTTCCTAACTACAGAACAGCTGTTCACCCTGTCACCTGTTGATTAGCCGACTTTATTTCTTCCCCTTTCACACATTCTCTGACTCCTGACCACTTGGCTTTAGGCCCCAAATCACCCCTTGTGACTAACTCTCAGATGAAACACCTTTTAGGTTTCCTGCCAATTGATCATCTATTCTGTTGCTGTACTCTTGGGTCTCCAAAGGATAAACTACCTACTTGTGCACACCAGGACTGACTGATTCCTGGCCTACTCGTGACTCTTACCTTGTTCCATTTCGCTGCTCGTCTGTCATGCTGATGACCTTCTACATATCACATTCTCCCAATCTCAGATATCTGATATGGATTTATAACCTGATGTCCTAGTACCAACAATCATCTGCATTAGCATTTGGTTTCACACTTTCCATAATGTATGACCAGAGAATCATCACTTTAGAACTGGAAGGCACATTAGAAATAATTTAATCCAACCCTCTCATTTTAGAGATGAGGAAATTGAGGCCCAGACATGAAGTGGCTTGTTCCAGGTCACAATGGAAATTTGTGGCAAAGTGGAACCAGAATTTAAACCTCATAACTCCAGTGCCCTTTCCTCTAAACCACACTGATCCTCTATATTTTAATTATTCCATTAATGTCAAATGACAGCGCATATACTAATTCATATAAAAGTGAGAGGCACTGCTGGTCCATTTTGGCTGAAAGGTCACCTTCACATGACCCCACTTTTGTGTTGTGCCTGCATTTCAATTGCATAGGAAATACACGGTTTCAGAGATTAATGCCAGTAAAGTGGCTGAGCTGAGCTAAAGTAGGGGATATTGTCCTATATGAAAAAGCAAAATCAAATCTGAAAACAGGTAACAGTTCTACACATAATAGACATATAATAAATGTTTATTAAATTTAATCTTTGTAATTTTCTACCATTCTCCTCTTATATCACTCTGGGAGATTAACTTTTTTTTTCTTTCTTCCTTCCTTCCTTTCTTTTTTGAGCAAGCACTTTGTCCAAAGTTGTGGTTTAGGGAATAATTTAAATGAAGATGTTTCTCCTTTAGACACTGAAAATGAGATTACAATTCAGAAAAAATTACACTCTTGTTTTGAATGATTCAACTTTTTTCCCTAGGCATAAGGTGGAAATGCACTGCCATTTCCAAATGACAGCGTCATAAAACCAGCAGAAATGGCCAAATAGCTTTCTTTTAACCTATAATTACAGAAATAAAAACTGCAATGTAGTTAGAGCCAAATGCCATTTGGAAATATTAGAGGAACACAATGAGCGCCTTAGTGAAAACTACTACATGTAATCAAGAAGCAGGCCTGCTAGAATTCTTAATGAAAATCCAATGAGTGGCCGTATCTGGACAAATGTAAAAAAGGCCATCGCTGCCAGGTATATGCCCAGCTGAGATATTTTGTTTGTCGAAGCTTTTCCATCAAGCAGTCTTATTATAATGTGAAGACATAATAAAAGGCTAAAGATCCTTTAGGCAAATATTATTTGAGAAAGGTACCCTTCATTCTCATGGGGGCTTATGCCTATCTCGTTAACTGATTTGTCATTAATCCTATTAGAATATGTTCTTTGCTTAATATATCATTTTATCACATTTTATCAGTTGAATCTAACAATTAATTGAAAAGTGTCCTTAAAATTAATTTTCTATTTCGAAAAATCTTTTTCAATGCTGTTGTTGAGTCATTTGAGACTTATCTGACTCTCTACGACCTCTTTTTTTTTTTTTGCCAAAGGTACTAGAGTGGTTTGCCATTTCCTTCTCCAGCTTATTTGACAGATGAGGAACTAAGGCAAACAGGGGTAAAAGAGTTACCCAGGGTCATACAGCTAGTATCTGAGGCTAGATTTGAACTCATGAAGATGAGTCTTCCTGATTCCAAGCCCAGTGCTCTATCCGCTGTGCCACTGAGCTGCTCCTTACAACAACTTTTCTATACAAGAACAGCAAAAACCTTGATTTACGCCAGGGCTTCTTCAACTTTTTCCACTTGTGACCCCTTTTCCATTTTGGCAGCATTAGTTGGCATTCATCGGCACTACATAGCCTGAAGGCTCACGCAGTGAAAAGTGCACATGCTCTGTGTTCAGAACCAGTGAAGTTGCATGAT